AGTTCTTTCCAGTTTCTTTTCTTGATTGTTCAGTGAGGATCTCACTAATTTACTAACTCGCCCAGACTGGGCCAGTCTTCCTACTTCAGCCTCTCAGAGTCCAGGGATTAAGACTTGTGCTACCATGCCCAACTGAGACAGCTTTTCAGTGAAAGGTTGGCTCCTAAAAAAAGTAATGAATAAAATCACCATCACTGGAGCATAACTTGTTTGTAGTTTTAACTTCAAATTCTCAGGAGACCAATTGGATCCTCCTGTATGACCCAGTTTCATGACCCTGGTTTTTAGTCTTGCTGACTTGCCGCACCTGGAAACTGAGTAAAAATTTTAATGAGAAAAGAAAAGTAAGCTACCTAAGAGCTGTTTAAAAATGTATCTATGCAGTAAATCTGTATACCACTGTGTAATTATAATAACATAAACAACTCCACTATAAGGACATTCACATCAGACCTAATTTCATTCTGAACTATTATAATGCAATTAACAGACTCACAGTCCTGTTTTAATTAAACTCTGTTGTGAAATATGCAGCATTTGAACCTGTTCCGGCCTGTTTCATCTACCACTGAATTACCATCCTTAACTTGTTTTTCTGCTGAATGATGAATTTCATTTAAAGATTACTGTTCATGGGGCTGGCATCTCACGGATTCCCACACATTTCTGTGCCTCCAGATCAAGGCCAGCTTTAGCTCATCAGATGTGTCCTATATGTGTAGTGTCTCGATTCACTTGTCTCAATAGATTTATTAACTCAGCTGGGCTCCCCTAGAAATGATGAGACATGTTCAATTGGTTTAATGAAAGAGATTTTAGATGACAGGAGCGAGACTTGTGGAGCTAACTTCAGATTATGTAGGGCAGAGCAGCTATCTTCTGACCTAGCTCTTTGGAGAAGTACTGAGTAGGCTCCAATTTTCCATGGATATTGTGGAGTCTGCCAAATAGTTTAACCATTACTCACTAGAGAATGGAAAACAAAGGCATCTGTAGAAAATGTGGTGTGTAGAAAAGTCATGTCCGCTTCTTTCTCTCTCTCACCTACACAAGGCAAGAATGTCTATGTTGTCTGGTGTTGGCCTCAGCAGATCTTTCTCTTCCTCTCTCTGGATTGCCTCCATAGCCTTAAAGAAACTTAAATGAGGAGCATTCTCTGTGGACATTGAGCTTGGTGACTGAACAGCACCCATCAGTTTGCTGAGTGGGTCGCTGCTTGGCAGCTAGTTTTAAGGACATATACATTTGAAAAGCAAGAGAAATGAGAGTGGCAGAGTCATGCTCACCTACAGAGATTATTCGGGAATGAGGCACATGATCTAAGAAGAAACACGATTTCTTCATCCTTCCCCATTCTGTAGTCGTGTTCTGATCAGTCGCTCTTGAGGCTTCGTTCCTGTTATAAAATATCTATGTTTTTTTTTTTCTTACCTTGCCCTACATTTTCTAACCCTAGGGAGGATTTTAAGAAGTTTTCAAAGCTATGCTCGAGGCTGTCTTTGGAAGTTAGAATGTGAAGCGATTACCCGTAGGGCAGGGTGTTTTCATGCCAGTGTGAAAACACTTAATATATCAGCAGGTAACTGAACTATTCTCTGCTGTGGGAACATCTGCCTCTGATGATTAATCCACTTCTAGGAAGGTTTTATGGGTCGGTCACCCTCACTTCTTCCTTCCCAGAAAGGAGTGGATACTGAAACAGCAACAGATCAGGCCCTGAGTCTGTCTGGGGTCTCGCTGCCTGGTGGTGTTTTAAGTGTTGCAACTCTCAGATTCAAGACAGCTGGTTAGAAACTCTGAAACCTACTGAAGTTGCTTTGGTATTAGATGTTTAGGGCCCCAACAAGAAAGAGAAATGCAGCCAGTCTTTCCTATGTAATTTTTAATATTGCTTCTTCCTTTCTTTTTTGGCGGAGCTGGGGATTGAACTCAGGCCCTTGCACCTGCCAGAGAAGCGCTTATTCTACTGAGCCATCTCCCCAGCCCCTAATTTTTAATATTGGGATTCTTGAGAGCCCCCTCCCTAGGATGTTAGAACTAAATGTCAGCAGGAATTTGGACAGTGCCTCTATTTCTGTAAAGTTTCTGTCTCGAGTAAGGAGAGAAGCCTCTTCCCACATAGTCTTCTACAGGAGTACTTATCTGGAGGTGAAATTCAGCATCCAATATCACACCCAATATCATGCAAAATGTGATATTTTGCATTCCTTTTCAGTAGCAGCACATTAACCCACAACGACAAGGGTGTGATAGTGTGTTGCACGATGGTGTAACACTGTACCATGCGGTGTGATCACAAGTGCGTGGGCTTCAGAGTCAGACCAACCTGGAATCAAATATCAGCACTGCCTGATTAGGGTCAGGGTCCGAAGGGTGCAAGGGTTCTATTGCACTTTCCCTGCTTGAGCTGTTAAAGAAAATTAGAAATAGACACAGAGGAACCAGACCCCAGTAAGGAGGGGTCAACTGCATTGCTGATAGAGCTGACTGAAGATATGGCTCTGGACTGGCAGCCAAGTTGGGTCAGCACTTTGTCATTCTCTAAGGAAGTGACACCTGGAACACAGGCCATGCTCTGAAGAGGCAGGCTTGTGTTAAACCTAATATGCAGGTGGCAAAGTGTATGGAAATCTCCTGGGCACTACGTGGATTTGAAAAAAAAAAAAGAAGCAGAGGAAAGAAGAAGAGGAACAAAAGAAAAGTAAAGAGAAAAGGTCAAGGGAAGGTCCTGTGTTTTCTCATGTCAAATTCACCAGGGAGGAGAGAAAGTGAAACTTGACGAGAAAGGCAGGGAATACTGTATAAGGAAACCTGAGACAGAGGAGCACGTGCTGGGCCTTAGAAGATGTCATCACATCCCTGTGTCATTGAGTTACATTTGTGAGTCTCACAATGCCTTGTGTTCAAAATAATGCTAACTGAACAGAGTGTTCATGTGACTGCCCTCTGAGGGCCTGCCGCCAAGGAACGCTGACTAGGTTCATCCTCTTCCTTTTACTGTGACAGATTTATTAGGACACTTACAGGAGGATGTGTTGATTATGGCTCATGATTTGTGAGGTTTCAGTCCATGGTCACTTGGTGGGGTTGCGACAGGCATGTGGCAGCGCATCATGGCCCAGTAGGAGTGTGAGGCAGACAACAGCTGTTCACCTTACAGTGGAGTGGCTTCCTCAGATTTCCTCATAGGAAAGCAATCATTGAGTAGGTGTCTTTCTTTGCCTCACTTATTTCACATACAATATCATTCAAGTCCATCCATTTTTTGGCAAATGACTGGATTTTATCTTTTCAATGACTGAATAGTTTGTCTGTCTGTCTGTCTGTCTGTCTGTCTGTCTGCATCTATCTATCTATCTATCTATCTATCTATCTATCTATCTATCTATCTATCTATCTCTATCTCAATGATAATGTTCCTTATGCACTTGTCCCAATCACACTTATTTTAAGTTACATATAGGCCAATGTCTTACTGTGGATTCCTGCCAGTTTACTAGCTTCTGAAGCATGTTTACATTGTCTGACAAATCCTTATTTTTGAAGGGATCATCAGTAAACCTCTGTTTTTCATCACATTAGACTTTTGTCTTTTCTGTCTTTCAAATACCTTCAAGACCATTTCTTTCTTTATCTTTATGGACATTAATTATGTCTATTTTCAAAGAAAAAAAAATCAGTAGGCCCTTTGGAGTTTATTGTAATTTTTAAACTCAAAATAAACAATAGCAGGAATTCTTCCCATGTTATTAGGTCTTTCCATATTTCTGATGATTTCAAATATTTTTAAATCACATTCTGAGGAGTTAAACTGAGGAGCACATGATGTGAATGGACATTTGGGAATAAGAGATAAATGTTTTCTGCCTCTTATTGCCAATGAGGAAAGAAATGCATTGAAAAGTTTCCCCTATTTGTTTTTAACGTATTTAGTACAGGTTCTATAGAGTCTTACTACACAGATTAGACTCATAATGATCATCCTGTTTTCAGCCTCCCAATCGCTGGGCCACCACACCCAGTCTCAATCACCATCTCAGCGTGCCCTAGGGGCAGAGCTGGCATGGCTTGTGGTGCTGGGGATCAAACCCTGGTCCCTGCATCTGCCTAAGCAGGTGCTTTAATCTGCTGAGCTATCTGGCTGGCCCCCATTTCTAAAATTATGAACATCTGTGAATTTGGAAATGGCTAACTCAGAAGGTACTGTGTTCCTCAGCAATTGTAGGAAATGACAAGAAGAGTGTCTGGAGACTGGGAGTTTTATAAGCCATGAATGTATTTGAGAACAACATAATCTAACCGTCATCACCAATATTTTAAAGGAGCAACGAACTTGATTAGTTTCCATTTATTCATAACTCAATTAATATTAATGAAAGCTCCACAGAGCGCATTGTACTGGGTACTGAAATTATTTCCAGATAACCTCTACCAGGAAATGATACGCAACAAGTACAAAAGTCAGGATTTCCATGAAGAAAAAGAGTTGGTAAATGCATACAGTAGGCAGAAACCTCGCCCTGTGCACTGCAGTTAAATGTACCTTTCATGTATTTGTCCACTGTTTTAATGATGCCAGAAGCTCAAAAACCATCTCAATACCATGCAAGTAAGTAAAAAAAGAACCAAGAGTTCTTTGGAGGAGGAAGCACAAACATCCATTCATGAAACCATTCATAAGCAGTTTTTTTTAATCAACACTGTCATTGTCACAGCCTGCTTGATCTCCCTACTTTGGGTTAATATGGGAGCCAATTACAGCTTCATCTGTGTAGAATTAACTTTATGGATCACACACGGGGGATTTGTCTATCTTCACTATTTAGATATATCCCATAAAAATATGCATGGAATGGAGTGCAAGTACTGCAGATGGCAGAGACTTTCAGATTTATCGTAAAATCATTTAAAATCCGTTATGCTCTTGCCAGAAGTTAATTAATTTTTTTTTTCTATTCTTTTCTGGGGCTGGGGGGGCTCGGGGGTGTGGTTCTCACTAGGTGGCAGTGTATGATTACATCAGGAAAAGCCACGGCACGAAGTCCAGTGTCTCTAGCTGTGACCTCCCACGTCAAAATGAAATCTCTGGGTCTGCCTTTGGTCCAGGAGCCACTACTTCTCACGTGTCTATATATACCGTTTATCCCAGTGGGTTTCAAGAACTCTACCGCCATTTTCTGAGACTTCCTAGTGGCGCCATTGTGGAGGTATGTATCTAAGAAAATACTCTGATGCAAATGCTATGTGGTATTTGTGTGTGTGTGTGTGTGTGTGTGTGTGTGTGTGTGTGTGTGTTTTGTTGTTGTTGTTTTTATGGTTTTATTTTGTATTTTAGGGAAGGGTCTACAGGGTGTTCAGGGTCTCATTACTAGATCGGACTTGCAGTGATCCACCTATTTACAGCCTCCCAAGTGCTGGGATTACAGGCGCACACCACCATGCCCAGTCTCAATCACCATCTCAGTGTGCCCTGGGAGCAGCGCCTGGCATGGCAGGCCAGGGGATTGAACCCCCAACCCCTGTGCCTGCTTGCAGGCACTTTAGTCCGCTGAGCTATTTGGTTGGCCCTGCTGTGTTTGTTATACTGCATGAATATTCAAACTTACATATGCAAATAGGCACACATGTCTTTATATATGATCTCAAAGGCTTTAGCATCACTTTGCAAACATATTATAACTAATGTTTCTAATACCACAATGACTGGAAGATATGTTTCAGGTTTTTTTTTTCCTAAACAGACAAAAATTCATAAGGAAAAAAGTTTCTGTTCCAGAAACATGTTGCTACAGGCAAGAAACTAAGTGAAATCATCCAGGATTCTGCCTTCAATAACTTTTCCATAAGTAACTTTTGAAAATATTAGCAGGTTGATGATGGGCCTGTGGACACTTGCACAACCAAAAAAGTGCCCAGGCTCTTGTTTGCACGAGTTCACACAAGATGAATGAGGTGGTGACAATTCATTTTTCCTGTGAGGAAAATCTTTAAAAATATAGAAAAGTATACAATTTCTAAATATTTAAAATTAATTTTAGTTTAGCATTTGGCCAAGAGCTTACAGTCTTCTTTTCTCCTAAAACTAACCATCTTCAGGTGTGCTGATTTAAATTTTAAAGAGTCATGTTGTTTGAATATTGCTAGAATCCAAGTTCACAGCATAGTGAAATCAAGGCTCTACTGCATTAGCCAAGGTGTTGAATTGTGAAATCCGAGGGAGTATGATCATCTGGGGGGAATGAAAGGTGGAGGAGAGGGAAACTGTAGATACATAACATGTAAATTTAACGGTAGGATGTTCAGCACCAGTTGATAAGAATTTGGATAACATGAGTGCTCCTACCACTTTTCCTGTGCACTTTAGCCATTAGTATTTTTGTTGTGAAGTTGATGAAAATCTTTTCTTGTAAGAATTCCTTTCAGTATAGCCTTAAAATAAGGTCAAATTGTTTAGAGCCTGTTGTGCAGACAGGACACTTCTCCTTTCTGCTCTACCAGTCCACAAAATTATTTGAGCACTCAGGAAATCATGTAGGCATTTTATAAGAGGCATAAATGGGCTGGTGAAGAGTCCTCCTCTGCTCCTCCTCCTGTCTTCCTCACCCCAGGGCTCTACAAGAGGAACTGCCTAAGTTATCCCAAAGCAGCAGACAACAAGATGATGATTCCAGCTAATGAAATTCTTTGCAAGTTCGGGTCACAGGCACTTTTCTGCCTACAATCCCCTTGAGACTTCTGAAATATTTGCTTTAGCAATCTTTTGCAGAACAAACTGCTAGGATTTAATGATTCTTTTTTTTTTTAACATTTGGATAAACATGTGTTTAAGTAGTGCGCACATAGGGTACTGGAATAAAAAGAAAAGTGCAGATGTCAAGAGCCTTTGCCTGCTGCAAAACCTTGTGTAGCTCTTCGATCCCTGATCCCTGGAGCCTCAGCAGGAGCCCAGGTCGAGGGCAGCATGGTCACATGAGCTCAGCAACCACCATGGCCCATGAGCTCACCCATCCGTCATTCACCCTGTAACCTTGGTTTAGTCATTTCTCCCAATCCTGCCTATTTCCTTATCTGAAACTGGGTTATGAATACTTATACTACCTGGCTCCCAGGGATTTGGGGCACATTAATGAGATAACATCTCCCAAGTACTTTTAGCTCGTTGTTAAAAAGAAATGTACAGTAAAGATTCAACTCTTACAGAACATGGACAATTAAGTTCATTCAGCTTGCAAACGTTTCATCAAGAACCAACCATAGCACTGTGTTAAGCAAACAAAACAAAATAAAACAACTTCGGCAGACCTGAGTGGGGAGGAAATAGAAGCTGTTTGCCATCTCACTCTTTTATTCCACCATTTTCAATATGATTTCTTGTTATGACAGCAAAAGGTGGGTGGGCTCCTGGTCACTAGGGGACTTTTCCTAATGAATATTCCAGCAAATAATCAATGGCCTTTTCCTTTTTACAAGGTTCAGAAAATGCACAACTTTTGCCCACTCTTGGATTTAGAGTTCAGACCTATTCATTTATTTCTTCTTATTATTAATTTATCTGCTGTTTTTCTATGAGATCTTCAAAAATGCAGTTTAAACTGGACTATCCCCCTTTAACTTTCTCTAACACTTATTGGGACACTAGATTTTGTTAATTTAGTCTTTCTAAATTTATGTCCAGCATTACCTCATGACTCCTAGAGGACAGGAGCCATAAAGGAATACCAGTCCCAGAGCAATTAGGGACTAGGGAGGTTGACTCTCAGGTACTCAGCTGAGATTCCTCTTCCCTGACCCCTAATAGGTCCTGCCTGGTCTGTCATTGCTCTCGTAAGCTCCAGAACCTGAGACCCATACTCCAGAACTTCAGTAACAAACAAATCTGTATGTTATTTTTCCAAAGCTATATGTATTGCATATGCATCTCAAATATACCTTTAGTTTTAAAATAATCACTTATACACAATCCCTACTTGCTTTGAATTTAAGTTCAACACTTGAATTTCCATTGTATTAAATACAGAGCCAATGGCCAAATATATCTCATTGAAATGAAATTTCAGGTTCAAAAATATGCTATTTGTTTAGGAATTTGGCATCCTGAGATACTTACTGGCAATGCCCACTTTATCTTACTCAAGAGGACTGGAATTTAGGACATTATTTAGAGTCTGGTCCTAATTTATCTACAAATTATATCTGGTGATAAGGAGGAAACATGGATATAATTTTGCTTCACTTCTGTAACCAGAACTCTATTCTCTGAGGCTTTATGATGTTTTATAAAGCAGATTATGTAGTGAACTAAAGTTCTTTTGCCTTTAACACATCTTCAGTTGTCACTAATGATTTCGAATCCTCTCCTAATTCAGCTATGAAATATAGGTCAGATATTAACCTCTCCCCTGTTTATTCTCAATAAAACTTTAGCCTTTTGAGATAGAAGCAGATTACCTTCAAATACTTACTTGTGTGGAAAGCTATGCTTTTGAAAAGGGACAATATCTGCATGAGGGAGGTCAGATTCCTGGCATCTGAAATAGAAGTTACATTGCCAACATCATTTTCCATAGATAGGTTTGTGGCCTAAAAGGAAACAGCTCTTACAGT